CCTCCATTATTTTCTCCCCTCTGTCTCTTCCTCTCTGCCGTCCCTCTTTTACCGCCTGCCCTCGTTCTCTCTTATTCTCCCCTCTCACCCACCCACCCACTCACCCCCGTTTTCTCTTTACGTGTTACTTCGCTCACGAAAGTTTCGATCTTGGGTGCTTCACCCCTTTTAATACGATTACCAGCCGATGCGAGGTCGCGTTGCTCTCCAAGAGCTCGACTTTGCAGAGCCTGCAACATCCAGCCCAACGTGGCGCGACGCGCCGTTCTCGAATTCATTTCGGTTATGGGGCAATTCCGCGAGTCGTTGGCAATTTACGAAAACTCGCCGCGACGCGTCATGGAGAGCCAATCCGCGACGTAGACCCGGTAAGAAGCGACGCGGAAACGCTCGCAAGCACTACCACCGAATTGCTCGACGGTGCCTTATTTATACGCGTACTTATGTATATATATCCCCGCACATAAAACGATCCCCTCCGAGATTTTGAATTGCCGTGAGACTCCGAAGAACGATGTTCTCTCGAATCGGTTAATAAAAAAGAAAAAAAAAAGGAAAAGAAGAAGAAATTCAGCGCTGCGTAGACCGTGTAATCTTTTCAGAAATAACTCGCGTATCTAACTTTCGAGAAGTTTAAGAGACGAATAAAGTATCAGGCACCGTAAAACTATAGATCTTCCTTGTAAATACATGTATAATCCAAATGAGAGTTCGCACACTGACTGAAATAATGGAACAATTCGACAAGGGTGTGATAATATCCGTGACACCGCGAGAAGCCGCGCACCTGCTCGATCTGTCGTTAATCCGATCGATACTGGCGAAAGCGCTCACCGCGGAAAAGGATCCCCGTGGCGATTTCGTGCGGTTTCCCGCGGTCCGGAAACCAATAACTTTTGTTTACTTCAGCGAAGTATTACTTTATTATACCTCGACAGAGCCCGATTTTACTATCCGCTGCGACTTTTACTGCCGCGGAAGGTCGCGCTCGACTCCGGAATCACAGTTATACGCGGGTATCTTGAGAACAAGCAATCGCGCCACGAACTGCCTCCGGATTGCGAAGAAAGAACGGCTCCGGGCGCGAGCTCCTTCTTCGCCTCTTAAAAATTCAGATCCCCCGCCGGGTGTGTTGCACAGACGACACGCGATTACGAGGCCGCCTGCGTTTTAGGTGCCTCGCGCGGCGGACAAGTTTGATTGTCGGCGGCTGCAATTTGCGCGGAACGTCAAGATCGCGAGGATCGCCGCGGCTGGAAACGCGCTCGAGATCTCGGGATGCGACGCGCGGAAAACTCAGCGAGAAAAGTTTTTATTTCGGCGGCCGCGGAATCGACTTTCTCCCCCATCGTGCTCTTGCATCATCGCCTGCTCGACGACGCCCGTCGTTCTCCATCCTGTCGTAGTCGTCGTTGTCGTCGTCGTCGTCGTCGTCATCGTCGTCGTCGTTGTCGTCTTTACCATCCCACACGCCGTAAAACAATGTCGACGTACGAATCCGCGAAAGAGGTTTACGAACTTCCGAGCGCTCGCGAAAGTACGTTATTCCCGACGAATGGAAACATGTCAAGACGCTACTATCCGCGACGCGCAATATTTTATCGTGTAATCGCCCTTGATCTATAGAACACATTCATACAAGATGCGTTTCATAAGTATTCTTAATTCACCGGCTATTTGGTTTGTTCACGTTCTCTGGATAATATTAAGTTACGTTTATATCCGCAAGCAAAACGTTCCTATAAGCGTCCCTCTTTGAGAATTTTAATATGCCAACTTTGAATTTTACAGTAGTTCAATCTATTTCTTTCTGCCGAATATTACAAAGATTTATATATATAACTTAGCCTTTTATTGCGTATGTGATAATACGTCCCTGTATGTGTACCTTTTCTCTCGCGTGTATACACATTTAAGTATCAAGATATCAGACAGTTTTACAAGCGAAATCGTGTTTATATTACGGCGCCGCGTCGAATTTCGCGAACGAGGTAACCGGCTTAATATAATCTGTCTATATGGGTTCGTCGTATCAATTAGCGAGATACATTAATTATTCATGCGTGTGCCTAAGCCTCGTGGCTGGACTTCGGTGACGAGAAGTTCACAGATGCATATTTTTTACTTCTTCGGGGACTGGTTTAGTGAAAGTAGAGAAGGGAAAAACGCACGAAAGTCGACGAAGTCAACGAAGTATTTATAAGGTGTGCATAATATGTCCGAATTCCTCCTCCTCCTTCTGCTCCTCCTTCTCCTTGGAGTGAAAAGATCTAATCTGACATTAAACGCACCCGAGATTTTTTCTTACATGAAGTAAGCTACGCGTTTCTCCGTCTCCTAATATTGGTACCGCGAAATCGTCTCGAAATTCTGCCGGAAACGCGCTGCACCAGAAAAAGGTTTTCTTACATCTCGCATCGCTGCATGCACTAACTTCCGGGTAGTAACGGTAAATGCAAGAAGGAACTAGTCCGTGGCGAGGGTAACAAGGACCGCACAGCCGCAGAATTTTCCATAAAGCTGTCAGCGTGCGTTCCTTTCGCGGTCGCTTCCGAAACTCGCGCTCATGGAGCGGTTGCGGGGTAAAAAAAGGAGGAAAGAGAGAAAACCGAAAGGGAGCAGGACAGAGAACGAGAGAGCGAGAAAGCGAGAGCAAAGAAAAAAAGGACGACAACAAAAGTGCAGTATTTATAAAGAATCCTAACGACTCCGTAATTAGCGTAATTACCGCCGGTGCCGTGTCTTGCGCGGTCTTAATGCTCGCGTCACTCGCGAAACGTTCTCCGTAATTCCTTCTAATGTATCTGCCGGCGAAAAAGGGGCGGAAGGAGAGCCCCTCGGCCCAGCAGTCGCGAAGTAAGGAGAGAGGACCTACGGCGCTGCGACACTGCCTGCAGTATCTAGATCGAAGCTGCGCCGGTTGCGAACGAGGTAGGATCCTCCTCGACGATTGCCAGCGAGAACGGATTACCTCTAATCTCTGACATTAGCTCCCGCTCTGCATCGACCGTACTTCACGAGTGAGCGAGCGCACGCCCTTACAGGAATATGTCTCCATTTACTTTCTGCTCTTTTTCTCGGCAGCTCGCTCGCGAATACCCGAATAAAACAGATGACGCGGATAAATCTTCACGGCGCCTCCGCTAGCGGACTGCCAGTGGAAACCTTTCGGAAACTGCTAATTATGAGAGGGCACTTGGCCAGCGGCTAAATACGCACCTCGAGCTACTCAGATGCGACAGCGACTGCTTTAAGTCGCACGACTTTAAAGGCGAATTCACACCTTGACAGAAAAGCCGAAAAAATCGGCAGAAACTGATCAAAACTCACGCTGGTGGTAGTCAGATAGTAGTCGACAGTTTCTGTTTTTTTACCCAGCACGAGTTCTGATTGGCTTCTGCCTTTCTCTTTTCGGCTTTTCTGCCAATTCGCTTTAAGAGAAAATACCTTTCCCTTTTCCCTGTTTCAAGAACACAAAGGACGCGTGTCGGCGATATCGGTCGTGCATAATAGATGTTCGGTATTCAACGATATGCATTGGTATGAAACCAGAAGAGGCATCGTCCTTGCTTAATTTTCCTGTTTATTCAATTAATAGATCGATTGGAATATTTCAACGATTTCAGCAGGAGATTTTTCACGTTGCTACGAAATTACACGTATCCCTGGCAGCGACGTCCCGACGCTCTCAGAGAGCGTTTTCTATTTCCATAAAAGTGAATCGAGCGGCGAACAATACGTCATCGGCTGCAGTAATACTCGCTTACGCTTTGAACTATGCACGCTCAGCGGGAATATTGGATCTCTCGGTGCGGTAGGTCCAATTAATTCTCAAGTAAGGAAATTAGGACTACGACTGTGAAACGGCGCCCGGTTCTCACAACGCGCTCAACGAGACGTTGCTAATTGTCGCCGTATGGTTACCGATTTATCGTCTCGGACGAGCACGCTGCCGACGTCTAAACTGTAAGTAAAAGGGCAATTACCGGTTGACCGCTGCAAATAAAGCAACTAGAAAGGAGTTAAACTAGCAGGTGGCTGTTATGGTGTTAGGTAACGCGTCTCTCTTATACCCGTCACCGCGGATTCGTATCGTCGCGAGAAAGATTCGCCGCGCGAAGGTATTGTTACTTTTCGTCGGAATAATGGAGATTGGATTTCTTTCAAAAAATTTGCTTTCGCTATTTTATACGTTTATATAGAACTTCGCACCAGACGTTAACGGCGATCTTCAACGGCGTTGCATCACACGTTCAATGATTCGAAATCAATGGCTCGAATATAAACTCACTTGCACAGATGCAAGTTGTGGACGATGTGCACGTGCGATTCATTAATTTCGAAAACTCTCGCGACGCCATAGTAAAAAGCTGTGTCATCGAAGAGTTGGAAATAATGGTGATTTTATAACCTTTTCTCTCTCCCTCTCTCTCTCTCTCTCTCTCTCTCTCTCTCTCTCTCTCTCTGGTTATGAAAGTGCAATACCCGATAAGTTTGTACAATCCGAGGCACGTCCGGGTAAATATTTTTACGTTCTATATGTGTATTGAACCGTTATATGTACGGCGGAAAATAATCGCGGTATCTGGAAATGACATTTCCAGATACCAGAAAAAATATCGTTGATGATAGCGAGCCTACAAGTACGGTTCAATTAACAAGGACTTGTTATCAAAGCCGGCACAATGAAACGCGCTAACAAACGCGCGGACAAGACTGTTATTTTAATTTTGGTTCGCGCTATGACGAGAATCTATGCGTTATAAATTTCACTTAGTTTTTGCAACTTCACACGCTCTTGATTTATGCCTCACACATGCGTACAAATAAATATAAATCACGAAATTGCTTTCGCAAAAGTATCGCGAAATCCGGAACCGCGTTAATTATAGGAATTTTATACGCGACCCGCGCGAAGAAATAGATGATTTCTGAGTAGCTTATGCATATTCTTCGCGCCAACTCGCCCAGCCAATTCGACTTTCCAGCGTCTTGGCGAAATGGTCAGTTACGTCAGAATTTTGTACTTAGAGAGGGGTCTGTGGTCCAGATCAGAGGGCGTGTTGTAGCGACCATCCAGTGAAAGTAGTTTCATCAGTATAAAAACCGAGGAATCGATGACACCTAGCACACTCAGGTTCATCTCCTCCTACTACGTTCACTATGAAGACATTCCTAGTGAGTAGTGAAGTTTTTGCCTTTGGTAAACCGCGTAAAGTCACGAGAAATTTTAACGTTCGTCGCAACGACCAAGTGTAATGCTAAATTGAAAAGCGCAATTCCTCCGTAACTCCTAGCACAGATGGACTATTCTATATATTCAGTTCCATTTTATTTTATTCTATTTCATTGTCTTTTTTTTGACTAACGGATAAAGTGCATCATAACGCGATTAAATGACTATATCTTTTTGACTGTAACGTATATATTTTTATTTAATCTTTCTACCTTGTTTGCATATCGATTTTTTAGTTAATCCCTTACCAGTTTCAAATATTTGCACAAAGTACACAGATATGTGTACATTTGCCTGAACAAGCGCTTTTTACAGGTCAGCGCGATCGTCCCAGATTAAACTAAACACAACTGTGCGGATTTCCACGATATAACGTACACGCGTTATCCACGTCGCGTTCCCCAACCGATAAACAAGACAAGTACTAACGACACGTTTGTCCGCCCCTAGGTCTTGCTGCTGGCCGTCTCCGTGTTTGCCGGAGATGCACCAGCAACAGAGAAGAAACACGCTAAACGCGGTCTTCTGCACGGCGCGGGATCGTTATACGCGGGCGGGTACGGTGGCTACGCGCCGGGCATCATCGGTCACGGATACGGCCACGGATACGGCCACGGATACGGCCACGGATACGGTCACGGAATCGGATCTGGATTCATACATCACGGAGGATACGGAGGATACGGAGGCTTCGGCGGCATCCATCTGGGATACGGACACGGACACGGACACGGATTACCGCATTTCCATCCTCCGACGCACGTGGTGAATCGCGTGGTGCACGTGCCGGTGCCGGTACCCCATCCCGTTCCCGTGACGCGCAAGGTCCCCGTGCCAGTGCCACATCCAGTGCCCGTGGAGGTAAAGCGCCCCGTGCCCGTTCCAGTGCCTCATCCAGTGCCGGTAATTATCACCAAGGCTGTACCCGTGAGCGTGCCGCGTCCGGTCCCAGTGCCAGTGCCTCATCCTGTCCACGTGCCCCATCCAGTCCCGCAACCAATTCCGGTTCCACAGCCAGTTCCGGTACCAGTTCCCGCGCCCGTCCCCGCCCCGTACCCGATCCACGACTCGTATCCCGGCCCGTTGGTTCCTGAACCGATCACACCCATAGCTCCCGGCTTCGGCCATGATTTCCACGGACACGGCCATGATTTCCACGGACACGGCCATGATTTCCATGGACACGGCCACGAAATCGGTGGTATTCTACACCATGACCACCACGGCTTCGGGTCGGACATCCACTTGGACGCGCACGCCGAAGCTGAAGGATACTCGTATCCGATACCAGCGAAGAAATTCTTGTAAGTCGCGCAATTGTCCGCGAGATACGTTTTGCAAGCAACATCTCGATTTGCACGCGATACATCTGTCGTTTTCGAATAGCCCGGATACAGCGCGTGGCTGGCTCGCAGTTACGCCGCATATATTTGTCCCGTGTTTCACTTGATATTTATGGATTCTCGCACGCAGCAACGACGGCGACGGCTGCAACGGTAACGGCAGCGGAATGTCCGCGAGGTCGCGACCTCCATTAAAATATATGTATATCAGCATTTACTTTCGCGCGCTCAACGGTGACGAGGGAAAGAGAGAGTGATGCGTTTCGAGGGCGTGAAAGTAACGCGATACTAAGGCCAGGAAGATGAATAATCTTGTAGGGTGTGTGATGGAGATGCGAAATATGAGAGAATCTATTCAATACTTCCTGTTATGATAATACGGCACACACAAGGCAGAAGAGAACCACTGACAATTCTTTCAAGATGTATCGTTTACATGTTTACAGCTAGATCATGTTGCCCGACGAAACAATACGATCAAACTCGCGGAATTGTAACTATATTTATTTGTCTATTAAAGCATAAAGATGTACAAAAGATCCGCGTCTCACATTGGAGACATTATATTTTTGTAAAAGAGAAAATATATCCTGGGTTATTTGATTTGTTAATTTAAAGCCCTGGTCATTGATTTTACCCTGCCCTCGCATCCCTCATACGATATCCTTGTACCTGAATCTTCTCATAAAGCAGTAACTACAAGCAATGTGAACCTGCGGGTTCGAGATACGCGAGTAGATTTACCCCGATTCGAAAGTGATTAAAGTTGCTACCTCCTTACCCGCATCGCATCCCAAATTGCCGAAACTTTGACCTTGTGCTTTAGCAGACTCGACAACCACATAACCGTTTCGTACCGCCCCCGGCTATGATCTCGGCTCTACGCTGAAATGCTCAATTCTGCCCTCCCTAACTCGCATTACGTGCCTATACGAGCCGCTCGAAAAAAAAATACAGGAATAAATAAAAAAGAAGAAAAAGCACAATCAAATAACCGGTTCGAAGTAGTAAGCGTAAAATACAAAAAAAACGTGAAAAATTATTTCGAATACGTGATGAGGAAGTATAGGATACGCTCTCGCTTCGTGCTTTTATTTTGAAACGAACGTTTCTACTCTTTATTGAGAGTATTTGCTTCAACTTCATTCATATAATCCACCGTTACACAGCTTATCTTATTTTCCCCTCTTATTGACGAGTCTCACTTCGTGAATTGAAATTAATTCGGATTGCCTCGAATTCACGCACGCGACGCTTGAAGATACCAACGTTCTATCGGCAACGTCTTCATGTTTAGCAAACCTCCGTCTCGCATAGAAAAACCTGGACGATTGTATACTTTTTCAGTTGCCTACCGTCATCTTCGTAATGGTATCTCTCTAGTCGTAGAAGACGTATGTGCCTTGCTCACGGCAGAATCCTACCCTCCGAATCCAAGGTAAGCTACTAGAATAATCTTGCGTATATAGGGTCTCCCAAAACCACCGTATCTTAATAACAGAGCTTAAACAGGTATTTAAGATACGTGGAAATAATTTCGCTTTCTGAACAATTGCCTGCCTGATTATTAAAGATAAGGTTTCCACAGATCAAAATTCCAAAATGTATGTAGCAAATCAAGAAAATAACAATAAGTAATTATCGAGATATCGAATGATACAATTGGATAAAAAAAAATTGAGAGATTAATTATTTATAATCTGCCGCGAAATCTCTAAAGAAGGGTAGTCTTTAAGCGCGAGCTGAGCAAGAATAACGTAATTGAAATACTTTGACACATCCTGTACACGTGACCACGTACAAAGACACCGCACGTGTGCGTTCGCCCCTAGAAAGCTCCACATGCTCCACAAACACATCCGCATGTACTTATGTACGTATGCGTTTTCCTTTCCCCTTTCCCGGCGGAAAACCGGTAGTCACGCACTATTTTACGACTTTCGCCGGGCCTCTGAATTAACCCGAGCTTTTCCGGGTACAAGAACGGTCCTTTATGCATCCCGTCCAGAAATGAACTGCATTCCTTCTATCTACGGGGTTACGGTGTCGTTAAACTGCCGTGGCTGATATCACAACCCGAAGTCCGTCCCTTACGGTTCTCAGTGAAGCAACTCGGTTACGGAAATATGAAGATACCGCAGAACTTGTACACAGAGAACGTGGTATCGTTCGATAAGTTAACAGTCGCGACATCTTAATTAACCCTTTCTTTGCTTAAGCAATTTTAAAACCAATTTCAACGTAGTTTTACGTTGAATAATGAATAACGTAGCAATTACTCTTGTCACTTTGGTAATTATTTCACGAGTCCGTCACCTTCCTCTACTACTGGCGGACAGACAATTCGTTGCGGTAGTAGTACAGGAGAAATTTATACACGTAGCCGCTTATACCGAATATTGAGCGACCTACTTCGCGATGGAACTTGTTGAACACTACAGATTTATAATTAGCGCTCATGCACGTATGTTCATTTAAGTAATAATTAATAGGCGCAGGTAGAACGCGCTAACAATAAAGGAATATCACCCTCGCGTGCAATTATAACAGCTGCAACATTATTTAATTACCGGAGCGACAGCCCCGGCGAATCCAAAGCGCGCGGAGCGCAGCGGGAACGGAAGCTAATTGTAAGCATTTATCTAATGTGAAGGATTTACCGACGATGTAAATTTATTCGCGAGACCCTCGCTTAATTACGCAGATTCCAAGGCATCGCTCGCGAACGCTCTTCGCTACGTAAGGCGCACCGGGAAAAACAGAAATTAGTCTCGTGTTACGGACTGCCGGGATATTCGCAGCGAGGTAACGTTTTCATAGAACGGGCCTAGCTATCATTATCATTTACTGCGCGCCCTTTACGATCCATCATTAAACGTGTCCTAGAGCGCGGAATTCTTTTCATGGGCCGCGCTTTATAGTACGCTCTTAGATACATACCGAGCAGGGTCTCCGTATTCGCTGTTTACGAGCGCGGTCTTGAACGATAAATGTCACGAAATTATTCGGCAGTGGGCGAAGGAAAAATACGCTGCTTCTTTTTCCTCTCTCTCTCTCTCTCTCTCTCTTTTTTACGGATGAAATATTGGCGGAACGATAAATCGCGGAGCGCGAGCCGCGTAATGTAGCAGAACGGAGCCGAAAAATTGTCGTCGCGACGATGCCATTGCAATCTGGACCCGGTAAGTCGCGGCACCGTATAGCGTTAATGACACGAGATGGGAACGACTCGTCTAGCGACAGTGAATCACCATAAAATACGACGAGCGTCGTCTATTTAATTACAATATCGTAACCTACCTAGCAACCTACCAACCTATCTACCTGACACCTCGAGCGAGCGAGCGCAAGTTCCGAGCGCGCAGCCCGTGTCTTTTCCCTTGGATTTTATATCGGCAGTTAACGCGGCTGATATATGCGCATAACGCTTATAAAGCTATGCGCACTGCTGTTTTTTCGAAACGGGAGTCCGCCTTAAGCTCGACCGGCTCGTTCGGGTTTTATGTTTGGGGCGCGAACCTGCTATTTACGATGGCTATTTCGCAGCATCGGGTCGCGGCGGACGCTGCGTTTTCTTCCTAGGTCGCAGTCAAACGAATCGGCAGTTAACGTCGATATTTTTTAGCGCTCCGACTACTCGACCTCTCGCGGCTAGCGGAAATTCACTCTCTCTCTTTCTCTCTCTCTCTCTCTTTCTTTCTATCTTTTTTTATTTTTATACCGCGACGTCGACCTCTCTGAGAAGCAGCGGATCTCCCCGCTCGCGGTAACAACAGCAGCGCGAAGCCGCAGCTCTGGTTGCAGCGTCGCAGGCTGTACTCGGCCGTCGATACGGCTCGCCGCGAACAGGAAGCGCCGTTTTATTGGTTGTTTTGAAACGGTGAAACACGCCGTAAACACGCCGTCACTGTACTCGTAAACAATGAAACGGCGTCCGTATGAAAGTTACAGGATTAAATGCCAGACGGAGTATCGATTAGAATTTATATCGTTATACCGGTACGGAATATTGTGCCGGCGACGTGAAGATGATATATCGCCCTCCGTCCTCTCTACAAAAACAATGAAGCGAAGGACGAATAGCGAGGGCGTTTCGCGGGTTATTTTCTATCCAGTTTTGGAGCGCTAAAAAATAAAAACGTTGCAACTTGCACCTCAAAGAACGATATTATTACGATGTTCTAAAATTGTTTTATCATTAATCCTTCTCTTTCGTATAACTCGTTTTCTCTCAGATAATAATAGTAACAATGTCACAACTTGCGATTATACAGACTATTTGCAAATTTGCAAATACGAATGTGCAGATATTGCAATTTCTGCTTACCCGAATCGAAATTTAGACATGGTTGTTTCATTTTATCAAGTTGATATAAATAAATGATTATTAACAAAAAATATGGTGTCTATTCACTTTTGGGATGTCTTTGTACAATTTATCGCAAGATAAGCAGATATTAATTAGTTGTAATATATTTAGTTGTAATATATTTAGTTATTTCATATATAATATATTCAGTTGTTAAATATTTTCGATTTTTCATTCACAATCTTTGAAGCATAATTTCAATTAAAAGTTCATGGACCGTTATTCAACTGTCTGGATCGACGTTCCTTGTATGAAATAATGTAATAAGTATACAAAGGTACACATTAACAATTAAAAATTTATGAGATTAGTAATATTTTTAATAACACAGGTTGTAAATACCGGCTAAATTTCGACTCGGGTTTTTATCTTTGCTGAATTTTATAAAATCTTATCTAATAAATAATTTAACATACTTGAAAATATATGATGTATCGCTGGCCGCGTCGTCCTGCATTGTCCATCCTGGTCAGAGTTGTTCTGCAGACCTCATCGTGGCGCTGGTATTGGCACTAACACTGATACTCGCGTAGAACGACAATTCGACCGAAAAAGCGCAGGTTGATTAACGCGATGCCGACGAAAGTCCGATTAAATATATTAAGAGTCAATAAAAATGGTAACACACCGAGAGATACGCGCACTCCGCGTCGCGCTATGTTCGTCGGCTCGACTAGCAATAACTCGCGATCATGGAAACATACGTGACGCCCGAGAATACCAAAACAAAGGGCTTTGTCCTCTTTCGTCAATCATCAACAGTCGTTGCTCGCTACTGAGAGCAACCGCCACTTCAAAACATGTCAAACCGTCGCGTCCATTCAAGTTACCAGGGTCCTCACACGTGACTTTTCGAAAAGTCTCGCATCAAAATTTAGAATCTACTGTAAGTCTCGCAAGAGCTGATATGTGCTTGTAATAATGTTGATTCCTCATATTGCACCACTTTCATTTTAATCCATTCTCCAAATCCCATTTAGATCCTCCGCATCTATAAAAGATAATAATAAAGAAATTATGAAAAAATGTTGTATATTATTTATCTATATTAATTATATATTTAACTGTATTTTATTACCTAATTAATTATTTGACTGTACTATCTATGTTAATTATTTAATATCGGCTTATATATAATCTGTTTGTACTTAACTAAACTACAATTAATATACCATTTGTTAAAAGTAGGAATAAAGAATAAATATATAAACTATATGAGATAATCCAATAATAAATAATTTTGAAGTAAATCTTGCTTGTGACAGATATTAACATGGAGAAAACAACAACAAGAAATCATGAGTAACATAAAAAAAGGACAATAGCCTATAAGATTATTTATTCAGGTATGTTGGAATTTGTAGTGTTAATGTCGAAAATTTCGACACAGATATACCTTTTCGTTTAAGGATTCGTGTATTTAACGCGCGATCCTTTATCAATATATAGCTGGAAATTACAAATTCATGGTAGCGTCATGTCTTGTCAACGCACCGATTATAGATAAGCCAAGTACCTAACCAGCATCCGACAGAACCCTACGTTTATCCTACTCTGTATGCGGTAACCGTTCTCGCTCAGAGGTCATGCTTTATCATACTCAACGGACAGTCGTCGGAATGCTAATCTTCCGTACCCTTATTCGTAGAATTAATGACTTGTTAATAACTAATGCCGCGATTTGATTTATGCTTTTATTCGCACCGACGTGCACCGTAAATTCCTCCGTAAATAAGGTAAACAATATTTGCAGACATGAAACAAACATAAAATATTATTGCAACACGACACGTTTACTCTAACAATTTTAATCTTTACTTCACATCCCGAAAATGCACTTACGTGTACCGATTACGTTTGACAAGCATCATTAAAATATTTGTAGAACACGATAATGCATTTCTGACTACACATCCGATGGCTATGTGAAATTTTCGTCGTCGCTGTAAAATGTTTTAATGGAATCCATTATACTAATTGATATCAACGACAAACTCAAAGAGATCATGGTAATTTCGTTTGACCAGCATAATCAGGAGTAGCCAAATGTATCGTTGGAAATTTTGTTATATGATTATAAATATTTCGGACATGTGAAACAGCTGACGAATGATGAAAAGCTTTATCTCGCGGCTCCATATAATAATTCGGATTCAGGATCGCGGAAACGAGTTAATATATTGACAGGTGACTCGTCTTCCGATCTCATCCCTCTGCTGCGAAAGCAAATTACTCGACCAAAGCGAGGAAATAGCGAGGGTTGCATTGAAAGGGTCCTTCCTGTCCACGACACGCGATGTCATATCACGTTATTGAGAGCTACTTGTCACTCCCTGCTTTGCCGTCACAGCAGGACGGGTACGTCCATGCCGATCATTCAATTAATTCGGACTTCACGCACATATCGGTGATCATATCGTTCGTAAGCTTCGCGCGACTAGCATTGTCATTTAACGGAGATTTCACGAAGTAGTGCTCACCATCGATTCTCCTGTTTGCACCTCTTTTTTAAAGAGAGAACGGACGCAATATATGTTTTATACAAACCATAAAAAATTAACACTGCACATTCCTAACATGAATTTCCTATTTGTTTCTGTAATTGATGTCATATCATGTGTTACGGATATGACAGCTTGAAATATTAAAATCACTTAACAGTATCTCTATAAGCACGACAATTTATTCAATGCAATACGAGAAACAATGTTCAGAACGTCGCAGAATTATTTCAACGAATCGTACTATTATATTTTTTTTATTTTTCATGTTACTACACTGAGGGAAAAAATATCTAAAAAATTATAAATATTTATTTGGTTAGTACTAATAATATATTTAATTAAATCTAAATTCTTTTATTTATACAGAATGAGCCATTACTTTCATAAAAAACTTAAGGAAAAGTAAGCTTAAGAAAATGTGTACTTTTTTATTTGAAAAATATTTTATATTAATATGAATAAATATGTTATTAGCATCTACCGCATAAATATCTTTTTATTTTTTACTTTTGCTACCAGTGTAGATACTGAACGTGTTCTATTAGGCGTGATTGATCTATAAGATCTATATTAATAACTATTACTTGAAACTCCTCTCAAATACTTTCAGACTTGAATTCAGAGTTAGATGAGAATTTTTCAATTAAATCATGATTGCAGATATAATGTTACGTATATTATAATTCAATGAAAAAAATTGGATCTAACTCTGAATAAAAATCTGAGAATCTTATATAAAACAAACGTCAAATAACTATTAACATAGGCCTAAATTGTTTTTTTTTCTTTTAGAAGATTACGCAATTAAGATCGTTAATGCATAATTACCTGAGCTGTTGCTCAGGCCTTCTGTATTATCCAATATGTAAATGTGTCCCTCGTTGTTTTATATATCGATGCTTTCAAGGGAAGCTGCCCTCCGAGGAGACTCGACGCCTGCCTGGAAAAGAGAAAGAAATGATCATGTGGTTCCTCGAACTATCGCCGCTTTTATCACATTGATGCAGTCCAATTTCATTTGAGCGTAATATAATAGCTAGCGTGCCGGTCACTTGAGTGGCGGCGTGTTGTAGATTATCGGTCTCGAGGGTCACGGGCCTCGTATCATTGCCGTTAGGTGTTCATTTATAAATGCCACAATTTCTGACAAAGGCACTGATTACGATTCTCGCGAGCAGTCAGCGATACTAACTTTACTTCAACAACTGTGGTGTTTTCCGAGTATAATCACGCGAGGCAAATGTTAGGTAAAATTAACGTACTTCAGCACGTTCATTTTTTATCGTGTACATTTCTTGCTAACAAACCACATATAAAAATCTAGCTTCACGTATATCTCTGGGGTAGTTTTATCTTTCTCTTTCGATCTATCATCACATTTCTAATTTTTAATTAACAAATCCAGTGATTGTCGGATTCTACTTGAGTGACTCGACAAGTCGCGACGAGCACTACAATTGTATCTAGAAACGAAGTTACTCCCCAATAAAGTACTTATCATACGTCTCGACGATCGCACATCGCTATTTTCAGTAGTTTCGATACTTGTTCTCGCACGAGATTCACTTTCGACAGACAAAAGACGCATAAAGATGCGGAGCGATTTCGATTGATGTGTCCATGATGGTTGTTCGACGCAAAAAGATCGATTTCGAAGATAGCCGCGTAATTGCCAACATACGTCGCAAGTGCGCGACAAATCGTGAACAATGTCGCGATCTGATAAGGACGCGCTCTATGGAGTACCTTTTGTATCTCTTGCTCTTGCATTACATCCCGAGATTTGACGTTACACACACCTCACATATCTTTCATCTTTCTCTCTGAACGTCACCGTATTTCTAACTCCCGATTAATACATTCCACGATCCCCTGATTTTATTGCTACTTGAATGAGTCGATGTTAACAAGTGGAAGAGACACCGATTCGACACATCGCGACAAGCTCCGACTGTACACATTGAGAAACGAGATTACTCGCTAACAACATACAATAGTACTACGACGTCCTGACGATCGCACATCGCTGTTTTCGACATTCCCGATACTTATTTTATATACGAGATTCGCTTTCGATAGATAAAAGACACATAAAGCGCGGAGCAATGTATTATAGGTCAATGTGTCCATGGTGGTTACTTGACACAAAAAGATCGATTTTGGAGATGGCCGCGCAATTGTTCATATATGCTGCAAGTGCGCGCCAATACGTGAACAATGTCCCGATCTGAAAAGAACGCACTTTATAGAATATATATGTATATATATATCTTTTTCTCTTGCTAACAGCTGACGCTATCGTCCGAGATTTGACATCGAATATATAGTAGATATTGTGTCATTTAATTTTTCCCTCTGATTATCTTATTCCTAATTCCCGCTTAATAAATCTGACAATCGCCCGATTCTATTGCTATTTGTAAGTGAGTCGAAAGTATTAACAAGGTTAAAAAAACACCGACTCGACACATTGCGATAAGCACAGATTATACACACGCAGGCATGAGAAGATTACTAATAACGTACTTACGATATATCTCGACAATCGCATATCATTATTTTCGGCAGTCACGATACTTATTTCCCTACAAGACTCACTGTCAACAGACAAAAGACGCATGAAATGCGAAGCAATGTCGATCGATATGTTGACAACAGTCGCTCGATACAAAAACATGGAAAACGCGTGTAAAAACAGACGCGAAAACGTTCGCCGCTGTAGTCAGCGATGCAGTAGCCAATCAGCTGCGGTAGCCAATCAATGCCAATGTCGCATAGTTACTAATATTTTCAACTAATAGAGTGTTCGACTATCCCTAGGTTAATCGCTCCAAGAGCAATTAATGACGTCGTAAGTCTCTACTAACCAATCATAAAGCTTATAAGTATTTGTTCGACCAATAAATGTAGGCTGAATAACCCAGAGTGGGTTAACCCAGAGCCAGTCGAACATGCTATAACATTTGTTTTTCTAGAATTTCCAATAATCATTAATTCTTTCAGAAAATACGTCTCCGCTTTCTAGATTAATCAAGAGTTGCTTTAATATTTGGCTTCAGTATTGGCGATACACATATATAATTGAAAAGTTGTATTGTATAATGAATCTCTAAATATATATATATATATATATATATATATATATATATATATTGCAATCGTCTGAAAAGTCACTATAAATAATTTATTGTAAAAATTAGTCAAGTTATCTCGCGTATACAATCAGTTTCGTGGATGCGTTTTAATGTCGATGTATGGTAGTTACTAAAAGTTTTCGTTTTATTTAAAAGTATTTGTTCAATCTTATTTTTATTCCTAGCTTTGCATTTTTTTATGACCGTGAATCAATCTAGAAAGCGAAAACGTGAGATACGCATATCTAGGAGCGAATGTGATTAATCGAAAATGTATAGTAATTCTCTGATCTATCTAAAAACTATCTGATTTTCCTAATAGTAAGACAACCACAGTAGCTAATAATCTTGGGTAGAGTCCGTTCGACGTTGCAAATGCTTTGAACCGTCAAATAAAACAATACAACTGATGTATCCGTCGCTCTGAATCGTCCGAAGCGTTAAATGGACTTACTCCTTATTCTTATAGAAATGCAATACGTTGATTGGTTACCGCGTCGCGGCGCGTCGCGGCGTGCGCGCGAGACGTTTTCGTGGCTTTATGTATAGAGCGTGCATCTTCGATCTCTTTACATCAAGCAGTAGCCGTGAAAACATCGATCGACATCTCTCCGCGTTGTACGCATCTTCTGTTCATCGCAAGTGAGTCTCATACGAAAATAAGTGTTGGAATATCGAGAACAGCGATGTGCGATCGTCAGGACGTATCGTAAATATGTTATTAGGGAGAAATCTCATTTCTCGGTGTATCCAATCGGTGCTTATCGCGTCGCGTCGTGTCGAGTCGACGTTTGTCACTCTCATTTCACCATCGACTCACTCAAGTAGCAATAGAATCAAGCAATCGTGGAACTTATTAATGGGGAAGTAAAAGCGTAGTGATAATTAGATTGGAAAGAGAAAGATAAAATGACGCGGAAACGTATGCGACACCAAGTCTTGGACAATAACATCGGCTGTCAGCAAGAGAGAAAGAGAGAGGTATATACCACAGCGCGTCGTTGTCGAACCGCGTTCACGTTTCATTTCGCATTTTCGGCGTCCGTCATGCATTGCGCGGATATTCTCGATCTCTTTGCACAAAGCAGCCGCCGTGAACACATCGATCGACGTCGTTCCGCGCTTCACACATCTTCTGTCCGTCGAAAGTGAGTCTCGCGCGGAAATAAGTGTCGAGAGTGTCGAAAATAGCGATGTACGATCGTCGGAACGTATCGTAAGTATACTTTTAAATAGCCTCGGTGTACTTGTCACGACGTAAATAGTCGGTTTCTCTTCCACTTACTCGACTCACTCAAGTAGCAATAGAATCGGGCGAACGCCGGATTTATTAATCGGAAGTTAGGAATATAGTGACGATCGGAAGGAAAGATGAAATGACGCGAGAAATGTATACGATATAAAATTTCGGACAGTAGCAAGAGAGACAGGGGATACTCCATAGAGCGCGTCCTTATCAGATCGCGACATTGTTCACGATTTGGCGCGCACTTGCGACGTATGTTGGCAATTGCGCGGCCATCTTCGAAACCGATCTTTTTACGTTGAGCAACCGTCATGGACACATCGACCCATATTACTCCGGGCTTTACGCGTCTTTTATCTGTCGAAAGCGAGTCTCGTGCGGAAATAAGTATCGGGAATGCCGAAAACAGCGATGTGCGATCGTCAGGACGTCGTAATACTATTGTAAGTACGTTGTTAGCGGGTAATTTGTTTCTCGGTGTGTATAGTCGGTGCTTGTCGCGACATGTCGAATCGGTGTCTCTTCCACTTATTAACAATGACTCACTCAAGTAGCAATAGAATCAGGCGATCGTGGGATTTATTAATTGGGAGTTAGGAATGTGATGACGATCAGAGGGAAAGATGAAAGATATGTGAAGTGTGTGCAACATCGAATCTGGGGCGGTAGCGCAAGAGCAAGAGAGACAAGGTATTCCATAGGACGCGTCCTTATCACATCGCGACACTGTTCACGATTTAGCATACACTTGCGATGTATGTTGGCAATTGCGAGGCTATCTTCGAAATCGATCTTTTTACATTGAGCAACCGCCATAGACACATCAAGCCATATTGCTCCGCGCTTTACGCGTCTTTTATCTGTCGAAAATGAGTCTCGTGCGAGAATATGTATCGGGAATGCTGAAAGCAGGGATATGTGATCCTCGTAAGATGCCGTAGCAATATTGTAAGTACATTATTAGTGAATAATCTCGTTGTGCGACAGTCGGTGCTTGTCGCGACGTGTCGAGTCTGTGTCTCTTCCACTTGTTAATATCAACTCGCTCAAATAACAATAGAATTGGATATCACCGAATTTATTAATCGGGAATTTAATCACAGAATGATGAATAAATAATATGATATCAGAAATATATGCGACGTCGAGTCTTGATAAATGGCGTTTATCTTTTAGCAAAGGATGTACACGTTACTACCATGAAAATTAACATCATGATAAATATTGTCACGTTCAGTAGTCAAGTTCGGAAATCGGATAATGTTATTCTCTCTGTTAGATGTAAATTACGCAGCGTCACCAATGTTTAAACTGTTATTTACTGATGCACGCATGTACTCTGCGAAATTTTTTTTGGAATTAATTTAGATGAAAGACAGAATTTATTTCGACCGTGCAACTCGTTTATATCCCATACTACTTTCATTGCATTATATTGTGGTAACAATTATCCATAAAATATATTAATCAGTTTCGTAATAATGATGTGCATTGAAAGAACGTCTGCGGAGATATGCGATGATTGTTTTTTGGAATTGAATAAGTAAGAATTATCGCGAAATTAAACAACTAGTTTAATTATTCGTTATCGTCGCTTCTATTAATCATGTGCAGAAGTTTATTACCTCGTATCTATTTTGTCCGGGTTCTATCTATTCTCGAGTATTTCCTTTTATTTTCATCCAACATCATTCATAAATTGCATTTGCAAACATTTTTACACTTTTATCGTCCATATTCGCCCATCGCTTGCTCTGCCTTACACAGCATACTGACTTATTCATGTTTTCATTCTCGGCTTCTCACTCGCCCAGGAATTATTATCTCCAAATTATGAAGGTACAATTCCCTGAATGTTAGGACGGCCGTTTTATGCATTTTCATTATATTTATACGCGTGATGCAAGTATAATTGTACGAGCTACTTAAAATAAATTTTTACGTAGCATTTATGAGCGCGTGTTACGACACAATTAAATATCTTAAAGATTAATTGCTCTTGTCGTGTTCCATTATACCGAATATACCAAATGCACATGCGATATATTTGACCCGTTCGCTAAATTATCATCTTCTAAATTCTTCAAATTATCATCAACGTAGATTCAACCGTCCCTTCGTCGTCCGTTCGATTTTTCTAATAACGCTTTACGAGAAATTTACATCGGAACGACGACATTAAAACGCTTCTTCCTGCTAAAACGACCTTTCCAAACGTCAACAAGGGCGGTGTTATTATCTGGGCGTAAAAGTATATCACAGAAGAGGGAAATGGAATCTCTCTGGGATGTGTGTTCGCTACGGCTAACGCGAGTTTCCCTATTCGAGAGCACAGTGAAGAGTCGTGAGTTTCAGCATCTGAAATTTTGGCGGAAAAGTGTCGCCAGTTGGCGGGCGGGTTTTCCGTGACTCGGAGAGCCCGCCCTGTTCTTTGCGTCGCGTCGCTCCGAGACCGGTCCATCCCGGCAGCTGTTGCATTCTGATGCAGCGGCGCGTCGTCCTCCGCCGCCGGTACTGTCGCCTGCCAGCCGACGAGATCGCACGTTGCGCGAGTAGTGGGTGATCTCGGGAATGTGGCGATGGTGGGGGAAAGACTAGACTAGCGGCGTCGGCGGCAGCGCCAGCGGCATGGTGGGGGAAGCTTGCGAAGAGCAGACGAGTGGGGTTCCCTCTGGTGAGTGTCTCGTGTCAGTCGAGCCGTGTGCCGCGTCGCGGTAGTGTCGTGCAGTAGTGTTGCGTCTCGCGTGTCTCGCCGAACACCGACGATGACGTCTTCCTTGTGACTATGAGCGGTTCGCGCTCGTGACGAGGATCATCGGCTACGTCGTACACCCGTCATCGTGTCCACCGTGCTCGCGCTATCGTCGTCGTTCGTCTCCTACGACCGAGGGGGACGCCGGTCGGGACGTGCCGGTGTGCGTGTACGACGTGGACTTGCTGCTTGCTCGTCGTTTTTCTCAATCGGACGTATAATACGGACCGGGATCGAGGTGAGACCGGGACTCCGACGCTCGTCGTCGCTTTCCTCTCGATCGGCCACGAGACAGAATCGGTCGCTACGATTTCGTGTACAATGTCAACTTAACCGACTGTCGCCGTTATTTCAACAAGCCAATGAGACGTGCGCGCGGGCCGTTAAAGAGACGCTATTGGTTCTTGCGTACGACGCGATTTGTGTATGACGATTGACTGCTGCAAATCGGAGATGATCACCGAATAGTGTCTTCTCAGCGGCACAGGCACTTCCTTACTTTTTTTTTTATTGCAGTCGGTATCCCGATTCGTTTGTACGTCTCGAACGTCCTTGCGCGAGAGGAAACTTCAACGCATGGAATAGCCGGTGGTGTGACGTCGCGTGTGACTGAGATACGAGATTCGCCGTGCTGTAGGTCAAGCGACAAATCGGGCGCCATTTCCAAGGAGCAGCCGAATTACGCTTTCCCGGCTCGCCGTGCTGCGTTTTCGGGAGCAAGTCTTCGTCGCGCTTTTAACCGGGTGAGTCAACAAAGTACGTTCCGTCGTCGAGTTTTTCTCAGTGCAACACTTATCGAAGACGAGTAATTAAAAACGGCTCGTCGATCGTGGATATCAAGTTACGTGACAGTGAACGCGTCGCCGCGAGTTTCAAGGTCCCTAAAGGTGACGAGTCGTGAGATCGCTCGCCGGCGTCGTGACATCGACGACGCAACCAGCTCTTTCCAACAACGGAGCCTTGCGCGAATACACATCGACGTAAATCTCGCGTTAACCCTACTACGATCGTCTTCCATTCGGTGCTCTCGCCAGCCGTATTTCGTCGACGAAGGAGAGCCGTTGTGAATCGTCCTTCGCGAGATCTGTCCTTGGCCGGAACTCTCGAGTTTCTCCAAACGGGCGGACGAGACTGGCAGGTCATCTCCGTGGCCCGTCGTCACCTCGTAGTGTGCGCGACGACACGTCGTGCGGAAATTGCGCCCCGTTTTCTCATCGATCATCGATCTAGCGAGTCCGCCGGCGACGACGTTACTCGCGCCAACTGATGATTTCTCGTGAACGTAAAGAAGCATACTTGGCCAGGTCGCCGATTCGCGTGTCAATCTCGAAAATCCGTTTCTCTTCGCGTAAATAGACACTGCAAGACCGAAATAAGTGATGCGACTCTGAGTGGCTGTGTGCCGGATTCGGTCCTGGGAGGCACATCCGAAGGGTGCAGTACACAAAGGACTCGTCGGGATTTATCGAGATACACTCGGGGCGACTGCTGTCGTGTGGCGCGCCGCTGGGAACAACCGAGTGGTCCCTCTAAATTTTTCCCCAAATCTTCCGCGCTGTATCCCTCCGTCTCTTTCTTTCTCCCGCGTTCTCTCTCTGTCGCGCGCACACCGCGTGAAATAGAACGAGATTCGACCGGTCGTTTGCCCTCCAGCTCGTCACGGCTGCTGCTCCGCCTTCGCATTTACCCGAGGATCCGATCGCGCTCGAAAACGAACGAGAGAAGCGGTATAAAAACTGAGACATCGACCGGACGATCGTATCACCGAGGACGACAAGCGCCGGTCCTCCGACTCGACGACGATCGTCCCCGTACATCTCGTAATGAGCCGTGGAGCGGTACATGTCAAGCGGCGAACGTGACCGCCGCGAATCGCCGCCGCGTGTCCCAGGGTCGTCAGTCCCGAGGCGACGCTCGTTAAAGACCGCGGTCGATCGCACGCGGAGGAGAATGTCGCGCTAGAGAAGCGTAGGTCCGATTTATTCGAGCCGAAATGCCTCGATGGACGTTGTTACGTCGTCTGGAAGGCGGCCTCGCGGGATGGTAGCTGCCAAGTATAGCGGATAAAGGAACGCGCGCGCGGAATCGTCGAACGCGTGGAGCGGGGCAAGGGAGAGAGAGGAGGAAAAGGGCAACGCGAAGCGGTGAGGAAGGAAGGACGAGCGAGCGGAGACCGTTTTAAAAGAGTCGAACAAGCGCGGGGGCGTAGCCGGGCCTACGCGAGCGCAACGAGATAGAGGAGGAAGAAAGAAAGAGAGAGCCGAGATGACCATGGCGAGCAACATCGTGGTCGAGTGGCTGCGGTCGCTCCACCTCGGCCAGTACTCGGAGTCATTCATCGACAACGGCTACGACGACCTTGAGATCTGCAAACAGATCGGCGATCCCGATCTCGACGCGATCGGCGTCTTCAATCAGACGCATCGCGCCCGCCTATTGCAATCGGTAAAGACTCTGCGCGAGGAGGGTGCCGCGAGTGTGTATTTCACGCTGGAGGAGACGAACGACTGCATCAACTGCGACAACGTCAGCTCCAAGTCGTCGAGAACGTCGTCCGAGCGGCCACCCAGCGATAAGGAAGTGCAGCGCGCGTCGCCCACGGCCAGCTCCTCCAGCGGCGGTCAGGAGCTGACCAAGTTCGCGGACGAATATGAGGAGGGCAAGGCCGAGCTGGTGAGAATTCCCAGGATGCAGCTGAGGATGCTGTTGCAGGAGAAGCTGCGGCACGACGGCATCAGGCTGGCCTGTCAACCGTACACAACACCGGTGAGTCGATTTACTTTGGAGAGAGAAACTCCGCTGTCACACTATAGAATCTATAGAACCCCTTGAAGGGAGATATAACTACTGTTGAATATCGTAGCAACTTCAATACGAAACGATCTGAACTTTGCTCTCGAATAAACCAACTAGATATCAAATAAATCGTTAAAATAAGAGAAAGTGAAAGAGCGCTTTTGGAATATCGCGTGAAATTATTAATTTAATTCTTGGTTATTCGAAAATAGTTTTTATTTCGTACACAATGCAGTTACCATTAGAAATTTTAAATGTGTTATAGAGCATTTCTTATTAATAAACTTGATACAATTAATATTTTATTGAAAGCATATTTTTTTAGGAATATTCTGTGAACGGAATAATGTTAACTATATATTAATTAATTAAATCAACATTAATTTATATAAATTATATTAATTATAAGCGCAAAGCATAGCATATATTCCTCTCTGAGAACATCTTTAAGAATTAACGTCCAAACGTATTAAATATGCATATATATTATTTATAATATGAGTTTAAAGCAAACATCGTGCATTATTATATAAATGAATAATGTTACATCTGTTACACATTAATAACGAGAACAGTGTGCGAAGTTTACCGTAGACATAATGGCATTAAAACCAAAATGTACCAATCAAATGTACCATTTGAAATGGTACATTTTCTCGCATAAAATGTATTTTCTGCGATATTCAAGCATAAAGTTATATCTTTTTTAATTGTTGTTATCTCCTTTCGTACAAATAATACAGTTACGCGCAGCGCAATCACTTCCAATTTTACAAACGATGACATTATTCGGTCTTCGTGACACCGACGTCGGTGATGCGCGTTGTCGACATTATACGCTCCCACTTTCCTCACGTCATTCGTGTTGGCATGCACGCATCACCTTTAATACATTACGATACGTGGCGCGATTAGCCACGACAATACTACTCGAATTATCGGGCCATCGAGCAGCCGCTCAGGTGTGCCAGCCGCCAAGGGGGGTACCTGAGACGAAGATAATACTGAAAACTCACAGCCCTCACGTGGCACGCCCTACGAGCGTAGATAATCCCCTGATTCATTATTTCGTTGCATTAGCCACCAGCTCGAGATAAGGACAAGCGTGCCGTGTTTTACCATACACGTTCTTATCCTCTCTTGACTCACCGACAACGCTACCGGTCATACGTTATGTCTTCACTTCTAGATGTCGCTTCCGAACGGAAGTGAAAGAACGGTAGAAATTATTTCCTTAGGAATGTTAACAACCACAGAAGTTGTTCTAAGAAAAAAAATGTGTCATGATTTAAATCTCGTGAAAATAACTGACGAAATCGTTCACATCGATGCGTGTAAATTGGCTTACCTATTATTACATATGAGAGAGAGCAGGCATTATTTATTAAATTTACTTTGTGGCTGATATCCGCAACACATTCTGGCTGTTTTTTCACTCATTGAGCAAATTGGCCTTTATACAACACGTTTATACATATGCATTTTGGTCAGTGGGTGAAATCAGTTATCGTTGAATCATTTATGATGTGTAAGCACGTAACGATATTCCTTATCAGAAGTACAAACAAAGTTTCTTTACGAGAAATTATCGAAATGAAAACAACTTTTCAACTATAACTGATCACAAAAAGAAACGTTTTAAGGTACAGACTCTTAGCTTGGGGCGGGATTTAATTAATATGAGATGTACATAGTATCGCATTCTTGAAACACGGCGATGAAACGTGACACTCAATTTTACTTTTGATGGAGGAGAAAGACCAGTTTAGAAAGTTTTCACCATTATTACCACTTGTTGTTTCTTATCGAAAACAGAAGCAAGTTTTCTTTAAAGTTCTTTAACGAAGTTATTACCGAGGCGCGATTAATTTTTCAACTATGATCGGTCGCGAAAGGAGGCGCTTTAGGAAACCGCGCTGCGGAATCTTGACTTGAGGCATAATCTAATGACTATTTGACTTATAAAACGCGTAGCATCACTGTCTCAAGATAACGGAGAAACATGACGGCCGATTCACTTTTGATGGAGGAAAACCCAGTTTTCGGGAGTTTCCAGCGTTATTGCAACTTGTAGTTTCTTTCCAACTTACTTTCCAACGTACACATAGCCGTGACATCTCATATTCGTTCTTTATTTACGTGTCAGCGATGCAGCGTGAAGTTACACAAACATATCTTTGCAATCCGACCCGACTACATCCGTGGTCCTGTCTAAAAAGAGCTTTTCCATGCAGTCGGTCTAATTGAGATACGCGGATGCGTGGAGGCGCCCTCGCTAAGAGTCAGTTCCGTGGCTCGAAAGACGTTTTCTCCGAGGAACTTTCGCGCGCGTTGTCGCAGAAGAGCGGTTTGAAGCGGGTACCACGCGGAGGAAAGTACTCGTGCGGCGCGCTTAACAAGTACGTACGTTCTTAACGTAACGCGACTAAGTCGTACGACGGAGTTTTCGATTTCCCGGTAACTTCGTTGACGGAGTTTAATATATCCGGTGGTAGAGTATGCCGAGGCCTGAATGTATATGTGTGCACACTCGCAAGCAAGCAAGCACGTGCTTTCAAAGCGCGACGACTTGCGAGCGAACGATCGCTTGCGGATCGATCTCGCGCAGCGAGAGATACGTGGAGAGGGATATTCTCGTCGAAGAGCCGAAGTCTGATGCATACAATGCATACACGTGTGGAATTAGCGGTGGATTTAGTCAGGACCGTGCGTCGAGTTCGGAAAAGGCTCCGGGTTAATGTGAATTCGCCGCGCGAGAGAGAAAGAGAGGGAAGGGAGGGGGGAGAGAAAGAGCGCCGGCTGCACACGCGTTGTACTTTCATTTATGATGCAAGAACCAGATCGAGATGGAGAATTTAACGGTTCGCGCATGCAGCTCTTTCTCTCGCGCAAGCTCGCCTCAGAGTTATTTCATTTTTTTATGTCTCCCTCTCCCCCCTCTTCGTTCCTCTCCGTCATTTCACGGCGACGAGAGCGGCGATGCGGTGCGTATGAAAGCTCCGTTTAATGCCTATAACTTTTGAAACGCGTTCTCGTACGGAGAGAATAATACGATACGCGATGTCGGCGGGGACCTACCTACGTAAATTGAGGATTTTTAGCGGGTAACTTTGCATCGCTCTCTATCTGGGAAAAAGTCGGCTGAGTTTTACATATACAAATACACGTGTACATATACGTGTGTTTCTCCTTACACTGGGGATTAAAATTCCAATAAATTTTACCGTGCAAATTCGCGAGTACGACATGAATCATTCATATCCGCTGCAGCGTAGGACGCGCATACTTCGTATTTTTACCGTTGCACTTGGTTCGATCCGCGCGGAATCCTTTATCCGTGACGTACTTCGTTATGCGACGCACAGCGAGTCGCGTCCGTGTGCGATTAATTGGATATTGCTATAATAAAACGTGCGACAATTTCGAGAATGATTAGTCATACGCTCATTATCAGAGTTATAAAGCCGCCGCGCGCTTTATCGTTCTGGAAATAATTTTAAAACCGCGCTTTGAGTCGCTAATGAGTCGGACTGCACGCGCGTGGCGATACTTTCTTTTTCTCTCCCCCTCTTCCGCGCGCATACGTTAATTAACCGCATGGCGAAGCGAATGTGAACGAAAAGTAGACACTCGGTGTTCGGAAGCGTGGGTGGCTTTTATCGCGCGAGTAAGTTCGGCGTTACTTACAGTCGTGTCGGGTCGCGACGTTATAAAACGACGTTTATGCCGTCTACCATCACCCTCGGTGAGGTCGAGTCTTATTCTCTGAGGTTATTGCTTCTACGATGCTCAGGCGTATCGCTAAAGACGGCACGTAAGCGAGACGTATCGATTTTTCGCGACGACCAAATGGCTCGTAACGAGAATGCTAAGAGAATAACGCAAAGGAGATTGATGCGCTCGTTAATCGGACATGCAGAGTGAAGAATTTTCGCGAGTAAAAGTTGGCGATATCGTGAACGAAACTCGAACTATATTGTGTCGCGTCGCATACAAAAACACGACTGGAATCTATTCAAGAATGAATGCGTCGGGATTCATTATAGTTGATCAGTGAAATTTTTCATCGCGTAGCCAATAACGAAACTCGCAAAGTCATTTCGTTTAGTGATGCGATATTAACTGTGGTTACGCTCGGAAATTTCATCTCTGTGTACTTATTGTGAACGCATCGCTCTTATGCGAAACTTCGGCGCGCGGAAATAATCGCAAACGAGTATTATAATCGCGCGAGACACACGTAGTTCGCGCACCTCTATCGCCAGAGGACTATTATTCCGCCTAATATCAACGATGTTTCCCGCGCGAATCGTTTCGGCGAGCAACGTAGTCACAGCGCTAACAAGTGCTTTTCGTTAAAAAAAACTCGACGAAATAATTTTGTTTACCAAAATTCCTCATACTGACTGCAAATCGCCGCGTAACCGGAGCCCGCAATTGGAATGCATCGCTCGAATTTGTGGGTACGCGTCGTGGTTTTTATTTTCACACACCGCCGATGTCCATTCAAATTAGTTGGCAAACTTTAATTTATTCTCCACGCGGTTGAACGGAACGCATGATTTCGCAGAAACACAGGCTGCACGGTAAACGAGCTATCAACATTTGACGACCGAAGTTGCGGCCCAGAACAAGCGTCCTCGTTTGACGACAGCACGCAAACCTGTGTTACAGTCTATTGTAGATCATAAAAAAATTTGAAATCGTTGAATTTTTATTTGCTTGTATTCACAGCGGAATTATTGCATTTTTCCTTCGCATGTATCGATAACTGAATTAGGAATTATTGCATACAATGCATGAGATGTATGCATGAGAGAGAAAAATGCCTCATCTAACTAAAATTATAGTTATTTTTGGTTCCAACCATATTCTTTGGTTGTTGTAACACGAAAATGATAACATGTACATAATTTTATTATCGCTAACATTATAAAATTTAATTTCAAAAGTAGTTCTCTTTATATTAA